CTGCGGACGCAGCACGCCGGCCACAGGCCGGGAGCGCATCTAATCCCCGGGCCTCGCCTCGTCGTAGAAGCCCCACTGCTCGTCGCCGCCGTCACCCCGGGGCGGAATGTCAAGGTTTTTTAGAGTGGTAACAGCGACCCCCCTTGAAAAGTGGGGTGGGGGAGCCCAGTGGCACCGGGCGAGGCTCTCACACGCACACTTTTTCTGGGCAGAGAAGGGACGGGGTCCAGAGAAAAGTCTAGGAGGAAAGACAGGCTACACCTGAGGCCCTGGGGCACGGCTGGTGTTCAGGGACACCGGATCGGTCCCCGTGTCCCCGGCGGGTTCTGACTAACGGAGACCCCACCAGCTGCTCAAGTGAGTCGTCCGGGGGTCGGAGCCCACATGGGGACAAACCTGCCAATAAGTCTCATCTACGTTCTAAAACGCAAACCCTCGACTAACGGCCACCAGGGGAAAATCCAAACGGGTGGTCGTGCGGCTTTTTCTTCTAAACTACAGCTTCAGGCTCCTGCCGTGGTCCACGCTCACGTCCGAGGAGCCGGTGCGGGAAGCAAATGGGAGCACACTGTGACCGGTGGACCGAGGTGGACCGAGGTGGACCGAGGCCCGGGCCTGCCGACTCCGCCACGTGGGCCAGAGCGGCCGGAGCAGCCAGCCCACGTGGCCGAATCTCCGGCTTCCTTGCGTGAGGTTTTTTTTCCTCCGAGTTAAATTTTGCTTGGGCTCATGTCAAAATCGGTCCGGTTGCTTGATCCGTACTTGGGCAATGGGATGGGGGTGCGGGGACGTTTGCTGCCAGCGGGAGTCGGCCTGCCCGGTGGCTGACATGGTTGCTGAAAAGGGGCCCTCGGTGACCCATCAGGGCGACGAGGCCGATGACCAAACAGTACGAGGCGTCCGGTCAAGGGCGTGTGGCCGGCTCGCGCACTCACCTGCCCCGAGAGGTCGCACTCGCGGTCAAAGTCCATGTACTCGTCCTCCTTGCTGTACATGCCCAGGCCGAATTTGAGCGGTTTCCCGTTGGCATCGAGTCTGAACTTGAGTTTGCAGAGACTGTCGAAGAGTTTGGACAGGTGGCGGCTCACCTGAGCAGGGAGAGAACCCCGGAGTGAGGCGACCCGGGGGCTCGAGGGGTACACACAGCCCACGTTGCTTGGCGGTGGCTCTAAGCATCTTTCCCTTTGGGGGGGTTCACGCCCCCTTCTCTGAGCAACGTTCAGCTCAAGTTAAACCAACAAAGAGAACGGGGAAAACCGCCCTCAGGCCGGACACATAGGCCGGCCCAGGGCCCGGCTGCAGAGACAGTGTCTGTTCCCAAGTCCGTCTTTCCCTTGAGGACGCCTGTCCCCAGCCATCGGCCTGTTTCCCTGGGTCACATGCTCAGACTCTAATTTCCGGGTCACCCTGGTGTATCCCACAGCTTCGTGACTGAAGGGGGACACGGTCACCCCGCTTCCCGTCGTCGGTGGAGCCCAGAGTCCCACGGGCTTCCTGGCACGGCCGGGGCCCCGTGCGGTTGCTGGTGTGGACGACCTCCTAGACGCGATGAGGGGACATCCGGGGACACCCCTCCCCTCACCCCAGGCCTGGGGGCCAGCGCGAGCCTGCTGGACGGCGGGGCCGCCTACCTCCACGGGGTCATTTCCGTTGGAGAGAATGTCCAGGAGGTCGGCCGAGGAGACGAAGTAGAAGCGTGGGAAGGCCAGTCTCTTCGTCTCCAAGTACTCGGCCAAGGCCTTTTCACACACGGCCAGGCTAGGGAGGGCGGCGAGGCTGCTGAGGCCACCTCGGCAGCGGGTCTCTGCCAGCCCACCCTGTCCTTGCTGGGCCGACGGCCTGGGACACCCCGCTGCCATCCCCAGCCCCCCATTTGATTCCCCTGCCACCCCGAAGGGCTCACTGGCTGCCGGCCCCCGACCGTGGCGTCCCCGGGCTGGACGGGGCATGGTTTGATCTCTGCAGACCTTGCACAGGCCCCCGGGGGCAGCGATGCGTGAACCCGTGCCTCGGCCGGCAGGGGCGCACGTCCCCGGTGTGGGCGGGCGTGGGGACCCACCTCTTCTTCAGGTCCTCCAGCTTGTTGTAGAGACCGGGCTTGTTGGTGGCTTCCACCACGTTGGGCGTCTTCACGGCATCTTCCATCAAGGCCTGGGAAGAGAAGGGGACGCCGAGGGGTCAGGGGCCCTGTCTCCGCCAGCATCGCCCGGTCGGGACGGCCGGCAGGGGACGGCGGTCGCGGCCACCTTGAACTCCAGGTCGATGTGGTCAAAGCGCTGGCTGTCCTCCGGCAGCTGGGCGCGGATGTCCTCGGAGCCGACGAAGATGCTCTCCAGGTGGCTCCACGTTCGCTGGACCTCGAACCAGATGGAGATGACCGCGTCCGCCGTGGACAGCTTCTGCTGCCAGCTCGTCACTTCCTTCAGGAAGTGCGACAGGTACTTGGACGTCATCAGGTTCTGCAGCTGCACCTGGTTGTCCTCCAGCGTCTCCACCAGCACCTCGTCTGACTTGAGCAGCATGGTGCCCGTCCGCGGGTGCGGCTCGTGCTCGAACTCCATGGTGGACCAGGTGCTGTCCAGGGCCTTCAGCACCTTGCGGGAGGACAAAATCAGGTCAGCGAGCCCCTGGCACGAGGCGCTGAGAGGACCCCGCGTCACCTAGAACAGGAACGAGCCCCACGTCGAGAAAGTTCCGGCAGCAGCAGTAACGACAGCCGTCGACAGATGATGGACAGACCACGCGCGGTCCAGCACGCAGCGGGGTCTTACTCAGCCACAGGGAGGAACGAGGCCCCGACACGCGCTACAAGACCCACGTGACGTGAGAGGCATGAGGCAGTGGCGTGTTGGCATCATGTTGCCCCAGACGAGACCCGGGTCTCCCGCGGGCGGGGTACCTTCTCCATCCCGGACTCCTTCACCGCCTTGTCCACGATGTTGCGGACCTCGTCCTCGTACTTGTGGAGGTTCAGCTGCAACAAGTCCGCCAGGGTGGTGTCCTCTGACATCTCGAATTTCACCTGCGGAGAAAAATGGGCGTGTTCACATTTGGCCACCTGTGCTCCGGCGGAGGATGCCGGCAGAGGATGCCCTCGTCCCTCACGGAGAGGTGGAGGGAGCGGCGGGAAGCTCAAGGCCCCCGTTTGCTGGGACCCTTCTCCCGGCCTTACTTCCCCTCCAGTCACGACCACGTATGGGCAGAACTCGGCTGCAGTGGACGGAGTGTTCCCACCACATTCGTGTCCCCCAAGGCTCAGAACACACGCTTATCTGGAAATGGGGTCTGTGCGGACGTCAAAGATCGCAAGATGAGATCATCCCGATTAGCGGTGTGGGACCCAGGATCGCAGGGGCTGAGCACGTGCCTCGCTTCCCTGAGGGCAGAGGCCCTGTCCCCTCTCTCTTCGCACCCCTGGCACCCGGGTGGCATCTCTGCCCAGGTGCTATTGGATACGGTTTTGTTCAGTGTTTGCTGACAGCGTTCCTGCTTGTCCTCCATGGGTGTCAAGGCCAGAACCCCCCACGAGGCCACATCCCTGGGAAGATCCAGGCACTCGGAGTCTGTGCTTCTGGGGTGCATGGGGACCCGGGGAGCTGTTCATCTCCCCGATTTCCTGAGCCCTGTGGACATCCAACCTACGACCAGAGCTGGCTACACATTTTGTGGGACTCAGTGCAGGATAAAAACAGTGGAGCTTTTTGTTAAAAATTTAGAATTTCAAGATGGCGACAGCGGAGCGTTCAACCCAGCTCAGGGTGGCCGCGAGCGCCGAGCACTGTCACTGCCCAGGTCGCATGTGCACGGAGCCGGCTTTGCCCACACTGGGCTCTAGCAGCACCGGGCCCTCAGCATCGGATCGAGCAGCCCCGGCCGCCCCGCCCCCCGGGGTGGGGGCAGCACCGTCCATTGCAAGGGCCAGCGTTACCTGGGTGGCCTGCATGAGCTGTTGCCAGTGGCGGCTGCGGATGGCGGGGTTCTGCAGCTCGCTCACGGCACGCAGGGACGTGATCATGTTCTTCACCGTGTTGTCCAGCCCCACGAAGGCGTCCCAGGCTTTCATCTCCTTGTCCAAAGACCTCACGTCTTTGGCAAACTTCTTGCAGTCGATGTCCATCTGCTCCACGTTGATATCTTTCCACTTGGTGGTCTTCCAGTCGTCGATGCTGGTGTTCACCTGCAGGGGGAGCACTCACTGTCTGCTCTCGCAGGGGAGACTCAGGAGCACGCCTGGGTCACCTGCTGCCACTGCCTCGGGGAGCAGATGCCAACGAGGGCTACTTAGAACGAACAACAGAGTTTGGTAAAGGGGGTGGATGTCAGGAGAACACAATCCCATTGTAAAGATACAGCTCAAAAGTCAGCAGTTAAAATACACGCTGGCAAAACCCCAAGGTGGGCCTTGTCACTGCTCCCTAGGACCCAGCTCCCCCCTACTTCTTGGTGCAGCCACGGAACTTGGCCAATGAAAGGTGAGTGATGCCTGACACCCCGGGGGGCTTCGGGGGGCAGGGGAGCGTTTGATTGCCAGTGCCGGACTCAGGGTTCTCTGCGCCCTGGCGGCCGTGGCGATGCGCTATCTAACGTGTTCTGACACGCAGCCTGGAAGGTCAACCTGCGGAGGGGTTGCTCAAAGCCGGGGTGCGGACTTCACGTGAAGGAGAAATGCCCTTTTGTTGCTAACTCTACAGAGGCCTTTGTTGCTGCGGAGTGACCTAGCTTATACTGACTGACGGGAAGTATGAGAGCTGTCATGCACGACGGCATGCGGCAGGACCAGACGGCCCCTGGACGTAACGCCACCAGGGGAGGACACAGAGCACCACGCAGCCGGTGGCCTCTGGGTGCGGGCTGAAGACGGCTATGAGGCAGGAAACGCTCGTCCACGAGAAGGTCAGAGGCTGTCGACGTAGGTGCTCGGGGCGGAAAGGCCTGGGCCTGACATGCAAACATGTCAGATAAAGACCAAACCCGGGGTGTTCACCAAGGATGGGCCTGGACAAGAGCGAGGTGCGAACCCTTAACCGCCGGAGGAAACTTGGTCCCTTCTGCTAGGTGTAAGCTGCTTCCGAATCCTGTTATCGTAACAGTGTCCTGGCTGGTCGGTTTTGGAGAATTTTTCTTGAAATCGCCTGATGGTAAATGCTCCTTAGTATCTCCTGGGAGAGGTGCGACCTTTATTCTGCCATCTAGGCCCACTGCTGTTTACGAAGGGAAAGCGCGGTACCCAGTTCCGACTCCCCCACTGTGCTCTGTAACGTCCACACACACGAGGCCCTGAAATCCGGCAAGGCGTGAAAAAGTGCACATCAAGAGGCTTCCGTCTGCATCGCCCCCCCGCCCCTCCGTTTAGGGGCGCCTGTAAGAGAGCCTGGACCCCAAAGATTTCCCTTCCCCCGTGTAAGAAATCCGCAGACTCAGTGTGGCCAGGATGGAGGCATTTACAGCGTTTTACTGTGACGTAGTCACAAATAAGGTAAACGGGGAGACAGAGCACAGGGGAACCCTGCATGTTGCCAAGCAAGCGCCTGTCCCCCGGCTGGCTCGCGGAGAAGATTCGAGTGCACTTAAAGTCATGCTAGTTTCCTTTTGCGGGGAGGGGGATTCGACAGAGATTCTGACGTTCACTCAAGAGAATAAGAGAGAAAAAGAGCTAAAGTAACTTTGAAAATCACGAGCAACAAGGAGCGGGGCTGGCGGAAGCCGACACTGCACGTGGCCGCCCGCTCCCTCGAGACGTCACCACACCGATGAGCACACTGGGTTCCCGCTCGGGGCGCCCCCGGGGCCCTAAGCCTCGCGTCTCCCTGAATATCAGCCCTCCACCACCTACTCAGCTCCTCACTCCCCCGGGGCCGTCTTAGCATCTGACCAAACCACAAAGTCTGCGTTTTTAAAAAAGCTCCTGGTTCTTCTAGCTCTGCCTGTCACTCCCAGGTCCTCCCTCTTACGAATAAAAACAATCCTGGCTACGCCACAGTTCATAAGACAATACAAAAATCATTCCTATATTAAGGAAAGACTTGAGAAGTTACATGTCTAAAGGGGCAGAGGAGGGGCAAAGGGGCCTAACGGAAGGAGGGTGTCTGTGCTCCACTCAAAGCAATAAGATGTTGATACCAGTAAATGGACAAATCACATGTGACTCTTGTAACACGCAAAGCATCCACTAAGAAGACGAGACGAGGCAATAGACTCGAAATCAGTATAGATAAATCTATGTAGATCTGAAATGTTCAAATAGAAGAGAAACACAGGACTAAGAAGCAGAGGAAGCAAAGGGAAAAGTAACAAAAGGGGAAACTTAGGCCCTGACACGTCGATAAGTATCTCAAATGCACAGTCTCAATACATCAATTCGAAGACAGATGGGCAGAGCGGGTGAAGAAACGTGACGCAGTCCCCTGCCGTCTACGAGGAACCCATTCCACATACGGTGGCCTCGGGAGGCCGAAAGTCAAAGAACGGGAAAAGGTATGCCATGGCAAATGCCAATCAAAAAATATTAACCAAAAAGCCGAAGTAGCTGTACCGATATTAGATGGAGTGACCTTTAATACGAAGAAAATTACTACAGACGAAGAGGAACGTGACATAATGAAAAGGGACGACCCGCAGGACGACATCGTAATCCTAACTGTGAGAGCAGCGAGCAGCAGGGCCTCAAAAGACCCAAAGCAAAGGCTGAGAGAGCTCGCGGGAGAAACAGACACATCCATGTCACACGGGGGAGGCTTCGCACGCCACCCTCAGCAGTTCATAAAGTTGCCAGACAGAAAATCTGAAGGAACGAGCAACACAGCCAACCGACAGGGCCCAACTGACATATATGGAACGTTCCACCCAGCAAAAGCGGGATATGTGTTTTCCCCAAGCACACATGGAGCAATCGCCAAGATAAACCATGTCCTGAGCCATAAAATACAACTCGACGAGTTTAAAATAGCTCAAGTAATACAGTATGTTCTCGACTACAGTGGAATCAAACCAGAACCCAATAACAGAAAGGCAGCGGGAAAATCCGCCAACATTCGGATTTAAGAAGACCCTTCTAAATAATCCAAGGTTCAAAGAAGAAACCTCAAAAGAAATTAAAAAAAAAAAATACATGGAACTGAATGAAATATCAGAATATGTGGGACGCAGCTAAAGCCAAGCAGTAAATTTCATAATACTAAATGCTTATATTGGAAAATTGGAAAAGTCTGAAATCCATAAAAAATCGAATCGAGAAACTGGAAAAAGCAAAGTAAACCCGAAGCAAGTAGAAGGAAGGAAATAATAAAGGTCAGACACCAGTGGAAATAAAAGCGGGCGAACGATAGAGAAAAATTATTAAATAAAAAGCTGGTTCTTGAAAAATCGATGCGATCGATGCAGTCGATCATTTGTAAAGTCCTGGTACCACGGACGAGGACGGCAAGAGGCAACCCACGAGTCATCGAGACCAGGAAGGAACGAGGAGACGCCACCGCGGCCTGCGGCCCTTAGAAGTATAATAAGGAAAAACTGTGACGATTTTACCCTTGTAAACAAAACAGCGTAATAAAAAAAAAAGAAAGAAAAAGCCACAAATTAATAAATTCACTACCAAACTTTTCACGACAACGGAAACAGACAACCATCAAAGAAAATGAATTTGTGATTAAAAATCTCCCAAAAGAAAAATCTCCAGGCCCAGATGTTTTCACTGAAAACCTTACCAAACATTTAAAGAAGAATTAATACCGATTTCACACAATCTCTTCAAGAAAATAAAAGAGAGAACATTTGTCATTTCATTCATGAGTCTAGTATGGCCCTGATACCAAAACCAGACGAGGTATCACGAGAAAACTGCGGACCCAAATCTCTCACGAACGCAGATGCAAAAACTCTTGACAGACTGTTAGCAAACTGAATCTAGCAATACATGAAAAGAATTACATGCCATGAAACGGGGTTTGTTCTGATAGTCAAAAATCATTCAATGTAAATTACCCATGTTAGCAGAGTAAAAAAGAAAAATCATACAATCACATCAGTCGGCACAGAAAAAAACATTTGACAAAATCCAACTCCCATTCATGATAAAAACTCTCAAAAATAGGAATGGAGAAGTACTTCCTCAACTTGAAACTTTATAGCTGATATCCTACTTAATGGTGAGACATTTTCCCTAAGACTCAGAACGATACAAGGATATCTGCTCTCACCACCCTTATCCAACACAGTACTGAAGTTCTGGCCACAGTAATAAGGCAAGAAAAATAAATAAAGGACCTACAGATTGGAAAGGAAGAAGATGACATCATTATATACGTAGAAAATCCTTACAAAATCTACCAAAAAAAACCCCCGAAACAAAAAAAACTTCTAGAACTAATAAGTGAGTTCAGCAAGGTTACAAGATACAAAATCGACACACACACACAAAACCCCCACATATTGGTACATACCAAAATATCCACGTGGAAACCAAATCAAAAACACAATGCCGTTACAATCACGTCAGAAAAAAAAAAGAGGAAAAAAGGGAAATTCTTAGGTATAAATCTAACAAGCCATGGCTAGGATCTGCATGCTGAAACTTCGGGCGCTAACTGAAGGAAATCAAGTAAGTGGGGAGACGTGCTGCGTTATAAGACTCGGCACAGCGACAATGTCAGTTCTCCCCAAAATGATCGATGGGTTTACTGCAATTCCTGCAGAAACCCCAACAAGGTGTTCCGTGGGTACAACAAGCCTATTTTGAAATTTACATGGAAAAGTACAAAGTCCTGGGACAGCAAAGCCCTCGGGAGGAAGAGCCGAGCGGGAGGGACCACTCACTCCACCGGGCATCGGGGCTTCGCAGGTGGCCGCGGCCGGGAGGGACCACTCACTCCACCGAGCATCGGGGCTTCGCAGGTGGCCGTGGCCAGGAGGGACCACTCACTCCACCCAGCATCGGGGCTTCGCAAGTGGCCGCGGCTGCGTGGTGCTGTGGGCGGACAGGCACGGGGATCAGGGGGACCACACGGAGAACTCACACGCAGCTCCACACAAACGGATTTTGGACGATGACGTGAGAGGAATTTGATGGAGGAAGGACAGCTTTCTCAACGAATGGCGCTGGACCAATCGGATGTCTCTGGGCAAAACAATGAACCTCGACCTTGACCTTGACCTCGACCTCGATCTCGATTTCGACCTCACTGCTTAAGCCAAAAATTAACCCCCAAACGGGTAACAGATTAGAACGTAAAACTGCAAAACTTTTAGGAAAAACACAGGAGAAATCTTCGGGGTGCAGGCAGAATTCTCTGATTTGGCACAAAAGGCATGACACATAAAAAGAAAAACCAGCAAACTGGACGTCATTGAAACTAAAAACTTTTGCTTGGACTGCAGAAGACCATGTTGAGATGCGGGACAGTCAAGCTGCAGACTGGGAGGAGCTGCTCGCAAATCACGGATCTGACGAGGACCAGCTTCTAGGGTACGTGAAGAAACCTCAGAAGTCAAGAGTTTGTTTTGTTTTTTGTTTTTTCTAAATTCACTTAGAAAACGGACCACAGACGTGAACGGTTTACGGAAGAGGATGCACAGGTATCAAACGAGCTCATGAAGAGATGCTCACCGCCAAGCAGGAAAGGCTCCTGAAAACCAGAGGGTCTTTTTTTTTTTTTTTTTAAATAGATTGGCTAGCATTCCTTCTTTTTAAAAAGCTTTACCAGAGAGGCGAGGTGTGAGACAGCGTGAGACAGCATCCCCCTGAGCGCAGAGCAGAGGGAAAAGAGACGCTTTCGCAGCGACCCATCCTGGGGTCACTCGGGTGCTGCCATCAAAGACCAGGAAACCAGCTGTTGCATCCTCACGACCAGGGGCTACGGGGGGACCCCAGCAGGGCACTGGCCCGCCCCCGCCCCACCCAGGGTCCGGAAGTCTCAGGTGAGCTGGTCCTTAGCCAGGTGTATCACTTGGGAATCTCAGGGGCTCGATCCTTCCCTCTGAGCTGCTTGTAGTCCGGGACCGTGACCTCGAACAGACTCCCGGACTTGCACAGCGCCTCCATGCTGCTCTCCATGGCTGTGATGCTCTTTTGTTGCTGGGGGTGGGAGAGTGAGGAGGGCGGTGAAGGGCTGCCCGCCCCGCCCTTCAGGGCCAGCAGCTGGGACCACAGCCTCCCCTCCCCCGCCCAGACGCCCCCCCACCACTTCCCGCCTGACGGGGAGGGGGCCTGGGGACCAACTTTCCACTCTGCTCTTGAGATTTCTGGTTTCTCGGAGTCCCCCTCCCCCATTTATCTTATTAAAAATGTTACCAGCAACGTCCGAGAGCTTTGAAAATAAGGACAACATAGCTAAGCAAAGAGGTGGGGGAAGAGTGTCACCCCCAACCGCACGACCAGGCGTGGGCTGCCGCGGACGCTTTCGTGTCGAGTGTGCGTGCGTTTCGTGGACACAGGGTGGGCGCCTGGGTGTATGCGCACAGCCTCTAAATGGAGCCCTCTCCCCCCGGAGCTCTGTGAAGGGGCCAGCCTGGGCCCCCCACCACTGGCGAGCACCCTGGGGGCCGAAGGAGAGACCGGGCACGGCCACACTGTGGCTTAGGGCACGGGACATTAGAAAATGGCCATGCGGAGCGGGTGGGGTCTCGGCCTTCAGGAGGAGAGGACGTGCTGGGGCTCCCTGTGCTCACGCCTGGGCACCGTGGTGGGGGGGCAGGCACTGCGGGTGCTGCGCTCCGTGCAGAGGCAGTGGCGGTGCCCGCCGTGCTCCCGGGCTCCCCGCCAGGCCCCGAGCGTGTCCCCGGGGCCCGAGCTCCAGTAGGACTTGCCCGTCGGGCGCCGCCGTGGACGGCACGCTGGGAAGTAGGGGGCGAGGGGCAGGGGCGGTGGGTGCTGCTGGGCCTGGGGATGGGAGGCTGCCGAGGGATGGGAGACTGCCGAGGGGGACGGGGCTGGGGACTGAGGACGGGGAGCGGGGTGGGAGCCCAGGGGGTTTGTGGGGTGTCCGGATGGGTGTGCGCTGTGGGGCTCAGGGGAGGCTCTACAAAACTCGCAAGAATGACAGCCTGAGCAAAGACGAGGAAGCGCCAGGGTCCCCAGAGTCAGCACCCGCCTCACCCCTGAGCACGAATACCTTGTTCAGGGACCTGTAGGGGTCAGGGTCGTTGAAGGAGAACGGGGCTTCCTGCCTGAACTTCTCCCTGAACTCATGCTGCTTGAGCTGCGGGTGAGCCAGGCGGAGGCGGACGCGTCACACGCCTGTCCCCCGGCCGGCCCGGC